GCCACTACCATTACATCTGGGAGATGATTTTTTTCCAGCAGAACGTTTTCCTGCTCCTCAGGAAAGAGATTTCTGATCACGTCAAGGGTTGCCTTTCTGTCTGGATATACGACCACGCTTTTTGTTCCCAAGGAGATAAGGAAAAGCCAGTGCAGAAAGAGGGGTTCCCACACACAGGCTGGAAAGGACCGAGGGCGTTTTTAAGTTCCTTAGCAGCACAACGAGCCTTTTTTTCCAACAACTCTTGGGATTTGGGGTCGTAATGCAGAGAGGACACTGGCACACACGCACATGGACAACTGACGGGGCCGGCTGTGTCCTCTGAGGTGCCCAAGGGACCAGGGTCAGGGCTTGGTGCTCACCTGCGGATCTGGGCCAGGGTGTCTGTCACTGTCTTGCAGCGCTTGAGCAGACCATCGAGGCGGTTTGGCTCCTCCTTGAGGAACTTGACGGCTTCCACCTCCACCCGCAGCACCACCCGCATCTTGCTCTGAAGGCTGGGGAACTGGGCTGGGGTGGGAGAATTGGGGGTCACCAGGGCCCTGCTGTGCTGGGGAGCCCCTCCCGGTGTCCCCAGGGCACGCCAAACCATCGTGGACACCATGCCCACAGGCAAAGGCACCCTGCCAGACAGATGGGGATGAATCCTGGGGGAGTCTGGGCTGGTGTCTCTCCTGATTCCCATGCCCATCACCCCTTCTCCATCCACTCACAGGCACCAATCTTAGTCCCTGATGGTGTCCCCTCCACATCCATGGGCACCAAACCCTGCCCTGGAGCTGGGGACTTGGTGGCCAGGACCCTGGGGACTTGGTGGCAGGGGCTGTCATGGAGCAGGTTGCTCCTGGCTCCCTACCCACTGCTCTGCTCACCATCCTGGCTGCTCAACATCAGCATGGCTTTAGGGAAGGGCTCCAGGAAAGCTGAGCTGCTCCCACCTCTGCACCGTGACCCCCAGCCCTTCCCTCAACCCCCCTTCTCGGAATCTCAGCAACTGCTGCCAAATCATTGCTTATTCCCTGCCTTGGCTCTGGCAAGGACAAGCTCTGCCACTTCGAATCGAGGTGCTGGGCGTCTGTTTGCAAAAGGCAGGACGGGGACAGTCCAGGGGGAGAGGGGTTGAGGCTGCAGCCAAACGATGGGCATGGGGGTGGGCAAGTGCAAGAATGCAGGAAAACCGACTCGGACAGCTTACAAAGAGGGGCACGCAGTGGGAAAGCGGGGTGCAGCCCTCACCCCTGCAGCAACCCAAAGCCTGCAGGGTACACACAACGCACCGGGGGAACCTGCCCGGGGGATGCAGGAACACACTGGCAGCTGCAAACACGCAAACTGGGAGGTAACGGGCAACCTGGAGCATCCCACACGTGAGGACGGAGCACGGAGATGCAGGCAGGCTCCACTTGCCACCCAGCCCTGGACACGGCCACCTCCTCACCCTTGAGATCTGTCAGCGTCTCCCCGAGCTGCTTGAGCACCACTGCCTTCTCCTCTAGCTCCTGCACGGGGATGAGCCGGTGGTTGTGGGCCAAATCCTTCTGGATCTTCTCCACTGACTTCTCCAGGTCACTGTGAGCAACAGAGGAAGGGCAGGGGTGTCACCGCCCCGGGATGCTGGAGAACCCCAGGGGTTGGCCAGCCTGAGTGGCAAAGGGAGACCCCTCCGTGCCCGGGTGTGCGGTCAAGGATGTGACCTGGCACCTGGCCCACCGAGGTCAGCGTGCAAGGACCCCCTCCCCACACTAGCCCCGCGGCCAAGGCTGGCTCACTTGAGCTGCTGGGTGATGAGCTCCTCCTCATTGAGGTAGCGGAGCCGTTCCTCTTCCACCAAGCTGCGCTGGCGCTGCAGGGGGTCCTCGTGCTTGCGCACGGTGTCCGTCACCCGCACGCTGATCTCCGTCTCCGTCCGCCGCAGCATCGTCTTCACAGTCTCCTGGTTCCTGGTTCTGCAGCTGTAGGGGCGAGGAGAGGGGAGTCAGGCTGGGAAAAACCCTCCCCGCCCACGATGGGGAGTGGTGTGGGTGCAGCTGGTCACTTGTAGGGACAGCTTTGAGCCTGGGGTCCCCTCGCTCTCCCACACCCAACCCCATGCAAAGTCACTGGGAAAAGGGGATTTTCCTGCTCCAGGGCTGCAGCCACCCCAGGGCCAGGTCGGAGGTG